ATGTTGGGATTTGTATGCAAGAACTGACTCTATTCTACTGCATGGGTTTTGTGCAGTATTGTGAAGGCGTGTCTCCAAGTCTGTAACCGTCAGGTGAAGACAGCTTGGGCGCCTGTGTTTTGGATCTAATGATCACTCTGTGTTGTATCTACCCAAACTGCGCCACCACTGCCAACTACACAACAAACAGCAACTACAATTCTGTTGTCAGAATCCTCCGATCGAACCGAGCCTCGCCATCCATCTATCTACCACCCAAAGCCTTGGAAAGTCCGTTTCCGTCTTCTATCCTCGAGTGCCGCCGAAAACGACACCCGAAGTAGGGGCAGGAGCGTCCCTCGCGCAACAGAACGGCGACGACTTGATTTATCATACAGCGATTGGACGGAAGCTAACACTATTCTACAACCAACGGAATAGTCTAGTGCTGTGCTGTCGTTCTTGGGAGTCACCCTCTTCGATTTTTCTACGGAATCCATGGGTTTGCGTGCGTGCACGAGCAGCAACCCGCAGACATCCCACCACCCCAGCAAGACGCTCTCTGTGGTCCTGTACACTCTGATTGTCGCAATACCTGCACCGTAGAGTTACTCTCGATAACGTGTTATGATTCCCTTTCTCACGATGGCGTCAAGAGATCCTTCCAGTGCGTTAGGTATTGACCGGCTACCGAACCACCCTCTGAAACCATTTCCAAAGCCCCGTTATTTGTACCACAACAACGACGAGAGGTTGTGCCACACACCGTCCATAAACAGCAGTGCCGGCCCGCTCGTAAGAAAGACCTCGACAAGGCAATTCCAACGCCGCCATGTTCGGCCCCACCACACATGCTACTGTACTTCTACGGTCTTGGGTTGACGTAGTCCCCATATTGAACTCTAGCTCCCACGGGGAGGCGCGGTAGCATCCGCGGCGCGGAGGAACAAACACGTTTTTCTGTGAGTTGTCAAGGGGATGTGGTATCTCATGCAACTTACTGCTGTAGCTGGTTGCATATAGACTGCACACATTTTGACAGGTAGGCAGGAATCAAACGGGCTGATACACGGCATTGCACCTCAAGGCAGGTACATGGAGTGCTGGGTCCTGTCCAAACTCGTCTCATCTCTGACCAGCGAGGGACTCAAGGAGGTACTGAATTTGATTGGCCGAGACGGACTTTCCACCCCGCACCCAAGAAATGAGAGAAGGCGTGCCTCACACTCCCGCTCTGGTCTTCCCGCTCTCCAGCTCCCTGGCACTGCCATCTGCCCCCTGTCCCTTCCCCGTAGCCCAGGCGAGAAGGAACTCTGCCAGAGAAACTCACCCGGATAAAAAAGCTGCCACCGCAAATGGGAGAATTTGGTCTCCCAATTGATTGGTGCGGCATCCGTGGTTCCACGAGGGTGTATGCAAGTCACACCTCACACGCGCACCAACCAACCAACCAACCAGCCTTGTTCGCTATCTGCAAGCTTGGTAGTCTCCGGCAGGTCGACGACGAGCAGTCGGGATCCCTCCCACTACCATCATACCTCCATTTTCCCCTTTGTTGGTGAGTCGGAGTCCTGTACAGACGTCCGCAAGTGTCAGGTAGCAGCAGCTTTGGAGCTCGTTTGTCCTTTTGTCGATTGTACTATGCCATACTCCTACGGTAGAATGTACTGGAGCGATCCTACGTAAGTATTTATTAACTACGTATATATAGTCCATGCACACCAAAAAATCCAAAATTTTCCCAGCACAAATGACAACTTTTCTCTGCCCACAGGTGGTTGTTCCGAAATCTGAAAGTACCGGAAAACGCCCTGTTTGCAGGCGCATCGCGTGACGGAGAGTTTTTTGTTTTTTATTTTTTTCTTGACTTTTTATCGGCGCAAAACCGGAAAAACTTGAATTGTTTTCGCAGGGGTGTGTTCTTTGCCGATTCGAAAAAACTCAACGGATTTGAACAGATGTCGGGATTTGCCAGGTCGGTATTTTTTTTTGGTCAAAATATTGTAAATTCACGGAGATATCAGAGAAAAACCGGATCTAGAGGGCTAACTTGTATTGTTTTTCGGGGAATAACTAACCGACCGATTTCAAAATAAACAGCGGCAAACGATTCCTCTCCTCAATATCTAGGTCGGTATTTGTGGTTATTGTTTGGAAAAATCTGGTTTCCGAGATATTCAACTTTTTGTTGTGCCGTCCCCATGGGAGATTTTTTTCGTTGGGCAAGACGAACACACAACAACACGCACACGTGGCGGCCCGAAAACACGAAAGACGCACGCAAGCACCATGGGGAAGCCTCAGGGACGGTCCAAGAAGAAGACGTTCGGCCCGCGCGGAGCCGATGGCCGAGCGGTTTCGAAGAAACCGAAGCCGACGCAGCAACATGATCTTCCATCTCCAGGCGCTGGCGGTGCGCTCTCGGGTGGCCATGATGGCGCGATTTTGATGGACGTGGACGAGGAGGAAGGTACGGCGGCAGCAGACGCGCAAAACACAAGCGGAAAAGGACGCCGCGGCGGCGCAGGCGTTGGCGGCTTCGCAGGAATGCCGAACCTTCTCCGTCAGGAGGGCGAAAAGGACATTCAAGAAGTGGAAGCAGGAAAAGGAGAAGAAGCGGGCCATGGAGCAGGAGGGAGAGGAAAAAGAGGCCGAGAACGATGCGTAGTGATGTGTGTCTTTTAGTGCTGCACAAAATTTTGCTTAACAGCTTGGCCGAGGTTTGTTGTGTTGTGTGCTTGGTGCGTGTTTCCCTTTCTTCGTGCCGATCTTGTATACGGAGTATTAGCAATATACAGCAGTAAACAATACTGCTTTATAAATATTTTCGTTTGTGTGTGCAGAGATTCGTCAAAGTTATATAGAAGTGATGGTATTTCTCCCTATGGGTGTCGTCGACCAACTTTTCTTCGTGCTATCTGTACAAATCCAATCATGTGGTGTCCGTAGTGTACAAAAGCAGGCACTGAGAAGGGTGGTGGGCGTCCCGGGGGGAAGGTTGGGGGGCTCCGTGGATGAATTTGGGGGAGGTATGTCGTGTTTAGGGGGCTCCGTGGATGATTTTCGCCAAAAATGTTGCATATCGCCGAAATTAAAAAAACTCTGCAGCTATCGACGTATCTCAACGAGGCGGTCACGACTATCGTTGTTTCACGTTCCCATTCTTTCTCGAAAAGAAGTTATCGCACAAAACGTAATTGGACAAATTGTTGTGCACGGACCGTACGAGTAAGCGATACTACAGAAGTACTTTATCTGTTTTCGCCAATATACCATTTTGGGACTTCAGGCGTCCTGACAGATCATTGATTGATCATTTGCAATTGCTGGTGTTGTGGCATGCCATGGAGTTGCCGCCCTGTATACCTCCACGCCAGGTGTGTGCAAGTCAATAGGTAGGTGTGTCTATATTATGTCGAAGTGTGTCATGTCGAGGTGCCCTTTACCCAAGGGTCGTGTCTGCAGGCGGTTAAGCCTGGGTGTACGTAGTCGTCGAGACTGAAGTCGGTACCATTGTTGCCTCAGTGGGACTTTCATTATTGCCTGCCGGTGGCACCGGAGCGTGGCTCAGTTGCAGAGGTAAGGTGTTGAGGGATAATTGGGAGTGAACCCGGTGGGGCTCGCAACACCTCGTGATCTCGCTACAATTACAATCCTCTGCTCAACCATCAATACATTCGTAGGCTCCTCGCTGGAACTCGTCACACATGGTACGTTTTACCAAGCGTCACTTATCACACCGCATCTACGCATGATTGCCTACAACAATCATAGAGCTACATCTGTTCTACTCTTCATACGCACATCCTACAGCAGTAATGCGCTGTATTTCAACACGTCCCCATGATGGATGCAATGTTACGTGCGCTTCAACAACCCCGTTGTTGTTCTAAATCTACTGCATGAATCCTGCAAGTTTTTTACGCACCTATTTCAGTTCGGTACTCTTACATTTAACATTTCATACGCCCCCATAAATTGCATTACGCGCGTTACTCATGCTTCAACAACTGCCTGTTGAGCTGCTATCCTTCTCCAAAAATAGTTGTCCTTGTATTCTACCAACAGAAAATTAATTACTTGAAAATCACTCCACACTTCTTCAATCCAAACCTAACCCATTTTTTTATGCGGTTTTGAAATGTTTTGTTGTTCTTTACCACACGGATCACGCTTGATTGTAGTTTCCCAAGATTCTCTTCGACAATATTCTCGCACGCTTTCCGAAATTGCCCTCGACTCTTGTACAGCAATCATGGTGTCCGATTCTTACTCGGCCACGTTCACTCAGTCTTGCATCAACCAGTCGATCTCCGGTTTTACGTCACGCTTAACATCTTTAATCACCATTCGATGATTGTAGTAAACACCTTCTCTTTTGTACCTGTCCAGCAATAATTCATGGATAGCCCGTAGTTATGTAGTGCGGCACTTGACCCCCTGTTTTCACCATGCGTTCTACCCATTTTTTTTTAGTAATTCCAAAACGTGGTCCAGTGTACAGTACGGATCCTATGTGTCTCTCAGGTACATTATTCACCAATGCGGTGAGATTGGTCTCCTGAGTTTTTATCCAACTGTTTTACTACATCTCTAGCTACACGTGCTTCCTCTTCTTCCATTGCTTGCACAAACTCCTTGCTCAAATACTCTTCTAAATGCACCAACTTCAAGCATGGGTTGAACCCATCTGAATTGTAGCCCAGAGATGCATCGCTCGAGATGAACCTCGATCCATTTCCTGATGATGCCATGGGCTTAATCGTCGTTCTTCTCGGTAGTGGTTGATCGTCTCGTCCAGGTTGTCTTTATTGTTGTTCTCAGTTGTTGTTAGTCGTCCAGGAAGCACTGTACGTCCCCTTGGTCTTGTCGGTCTTGTATGTCGATGCTGTCCAGGTAGTCCTTGTTGTCCAGGTTGCGTCGGCCTTTGACGTTCTCAGCAGTGGTTGATGTAGTCGTCGCACCAGCCTTCTCGTACTGTCCACATACATCCGAAACTGTCACATCTGCAGTTCGTCCGCATAAAGTCTCCTATGTCGTAAATCCTCCATGTGTTTGAACCCATGTCCGCAGTTTGACGAATTGGACACGTTCCAGACGCTTGGTCAATATGTGCGCAAGCTGCTCCTCACTCCTCACGAACTTTAGCACAATATTTCCCTGGTCGACGTTCTGGCGAAGCAACCAGCATGTCGTGCTGATGAACTTGCTGCGGCCTCGAAACATAGAGTTTCCTGCTGTGCTCAGTGCTCCCGTTGAATCCGAATTAAGCAGGATGTTGCCGCATGGAAATCCAAGTTCCGATAGTACATGCTGCAGATAAATGGCTTCTTTCGCGCTGTAACCATCGCGATGATCTTCGCATGTACACTTGGTTGTCCTGTTAGCTTCTGCAGACTTGATGTTGCACTGATGACGCCTCCCGCCAGTATGAAGATGTATCCAGCAGCAGAACGCTGCTGAAGTCTCTCGCTCAATCCAGCGAAGCTCGCGTCACGGTAGCACTTCAGGTCCCATTGTCCTCTCCTGAGCTTTAGTGGCATATCCGGGCATCCTCGAAGGTATCACAGCACTCTCTTTGCTCCGACCATATGTTGATTGGTAGGATTGTTCATCAATGGTTGGTATGACCGGCGGCATGGTTGCGTCCATTGGTTCGATGAAAGTCACGTTTCTCGATGGAACGATGCGCTTGGTATGCGGAGTATATATCCGATATGCGTTGCTGTTGGTGCTGTACCCAAACAGGACTCCGGACCAAGCTCGATTGGCAAGCTTAGACTTGTACGTTTCGACGTGTACGAACGCTGATGAGCCGATAACCTGTAGATGTTGTAGAGAAGCTTGTTTCCCAAACATCTGGTAGTAAGGCGTCTCGTTGTCCAGATGCACATGCGCCAGGCGATTCGTGATGTGTACCGCCGTGCAGCACAATTCGCCCCATAGATACTCCGGTAGTTGTCCGCCATGCATAAAACATCGAACGATGTTCATTAGCATTCGTCCAGCACGCTCGCTTATCCCATTTTGTTGCGGTGTTGCCGGTGCCGTCAATTCTTGAACGATTCCGATTGTTTTGCAGAACTTCTTGTATTAGTACTCAGCTGTGAACTCTCCTCCACCGTTACTCCGAAGTCGCTCCAGCCGAAAATCATTCGGCATGACGATGCCGTCAATAAATCGTTCCAGCGTGTCGATGGCTTCGTCCTTGGTCCGTATCAGGTACACCACATTCATTCTGGAATATTCATGCGTGTTTGCGGGTGGCGAAATTGGTCCCAGCAGATCCGTGTACACCCGTTGACATGGTTGAACGGCAGTGTGCTGTGCCGTTTTGGGGTGCTTCCTTTGGGTGCTCTTCTGAAGTTTGCAGGTCTCGCACGGGTCCAAGTTGTCCGTGAGCTTAACCCCAGTTTCTCCAATGCGCCGCTGCCTCAATGATGCCCTTGTGGCAATGCGCCATACGCCGATGCCAAAGGTTGCAGGGCTCCGCGCGTGGAGCAGCAACATGTGCTTTCTCGCGCGTGCTCATATTTTCCTCATTGATCCTCCGTCTCCATTTACACTGGCTTGTGTCAAGCCGCATATCCAGGAAATACAGCGTCCCCACTTCTCCTAACACCAGGGCGATTCTTGGTCCATCTCTTGAAGTAGTCGGCAACTCGATTCGAGGTTGATCTGATATGATCGTGTTCGCACCTTCTTCTGAGCTGTTCCAGTACCGAACAGGTGCCGCCCTAGCCCTGGAGCCACTGTACACTTGAACCGCACTCTCCTGTCGTTTCCTTCTTCATCCTTGGCGAAAACGCTGATAATGCTGATCCCTTCAAGCTCAAATGCTCCAGCACAAATAATTTCCGTAGGCGTGGTGATGTGCGTGAAGTGATCCAAAATGTTTTCCAGATCCGGTAACAGCTCACTGTCCAAGTAGTGGCCCGATGCTCCACTGTCCACCAGTAAATTAAATTTTCCTTGATCCAATTACACATAAGCAGCTCGTTGTGCTGCCATCTCCATGTGGCTGACGCATGGGTATCCAAAGTTCCCATTAAACCTTCAACCACTGTTTCTTCACTTGGTTGCGACGTAGTTCGGACATTCCGGTTGTGAGCAGACCCCCTCGTCTCCTTGTGAGCTGTTGTAGCTCTGTTGATAGTCCGATGATCACCGTTGCACATTCTTGGATTGGAGTTCCAAGTACCATCCCTGTCTTGGACTTGGTGGCGAACAGTGTTGGCCTGTCTCGTTCCTTGTGTTTCTTCCATCGTCGGTCCTCCTCGTCCTGTTGATGCATGTGGTGTGCCCATACCATCTTGTTGTCGGGCACGACACTCGAATCGTCATGCAGGTGGGTGTTGTGCAACGATCGCCACTTCCGTTGCCTTTGTCATCGCTGCCGTTGCGTAGGACGGTCTCTCACTTGTCGTACAGGTCGGCTGGATCTCGATCGCTGCTGATAACCGTTGTTGTATCCTCGAGACCCATTGTTGTTCCGCGATCGCTGTTGAAAATAAGGTCCATTTCGCCTCTTTCCGCCGCTGCTGCTGTACTTTCGTGTAGGAGCTCGGCCACTCCCTGAATACAGCTCCGGGCAGTTCTGTTGAACATGCCCCAGACAGTGGCAGTTGTAGCATTCCACCGCATGTCTGCTGTATGGAGGCGCCGAATAGCCTCCATCTCGGCGT